CTCCGGGATACCTGTAGAGGTACAATTTCAGGGGACTGAAGCCCAGCCTCCCTGTTCACAGGTGCAATCTGTGCCCGCAGCAATGAACGCGCAGGCACCAAATGGGATATTTGCCCCTTCTCCCTGCATTGGGTAGAGGTGCAAACACCCAGAGCTGCTCCTGCAATTCAATTCCAAAGATGCAATGGCGTCGTACTAGGGGTCCCTCCCATGCATCAAGGGTCCCTGCCATGGCTGCTGCTCAGTCTGAGGCTACCGCTAAGGAACTAGGTCGGGCTCGTGTGTTCATTTGAAAGTAATTCTCCCCTGCGTTGTTCCCCCTCCCCTCTGCAATTTGCATAGTGCATCATACGGCATTATCATTTGACTAACAAATCCTTTTGAGTGCGGCCTGGGGCGGGGGAGCTGGCAGCTGTTCCTGACCGATGGAAATGAAGGGTTTAGCCTTGATGTAAATATCTGCCTTTGAGGAGTGGTGTAACAGCGGACTAAGCTCCAAAGTGGGTCGGATACATGGTACTACTTGCTAACCACAGCCCCTTTGTTCTGAATCCTGCCTTCCCTGTGTGAAAGCAGGCCCGGATCCTGCGGACTGAGAATCTCCTGGCATTGTGTGTCTCATGGTCAGAGACGATCCAAGTGTACTTGTCTCAGACATTAGGACAACACTTACAAGTGACATGTGACTAAAAGCAGCCTGGGATTCAGATGGGGGAAGGCAAAGGGTTCATGAAGAGAGGCAACGAGTGACTTCCAGGGGAGACAAACCAAACACAATTCTTACTGAATGAGCCTGGGGAAGATTTCCTTTTGGACACCTGGGAGAGACCCACCAATGTTCTGATTTGGGCAAGTCGCTGGTGCCACATATGCAGATACCCGCTAAGTCTGGATACGAGAGGGAAGACAAATTTTGTGTGAGGGGCTTTCAGACAGCTGGGGAGAGGCCCTGGGTCAGAGGAAAGAAGGCTGGCTCAATCTCCGAGCTAAAATTGAGATTCCCTTGGCATAGGGCTAATCTGCCAGTGGACGCAGAGGAGGTCCAACCACCGGAGCCAGCATAAGCCATTCTAACAGCTGGCTGTTGGCAAACACAGCTGAGCACAGCTTCCTGTTGTCTAATCTCGAACAAGGCAGGTAAGCTGGAGGAAGGATAGTCCCGTGGATAGGGGGTAGGCCCGGGGCTTACGCCTAGTTCTTCCACAGAGTTCCTGTGTCACTTTGGCCCAGGCCCTCATAGGTATTTGAACACCTCTCCCCCATTAATTTCAATGGGAGTGGGGGCTCTTAAATACCTTCCAGGATCTGGGCCCTTGTCTCTCAGGGGGCTGATTCCAACATGGAGGTGGAACCCATCGAGTTTGTTGCTATAAAACGTCGCGGGTTAGTTAGGTTGCTGTCTGCCTCACCTAGAGTTCTCCTGCTGCATCACAAGCCCCTGAGGCCCTTTTGAAGCCCCAAAGGGAAAAAACATTGCTTTCCTGCAGCGCATGCAAGGGATCGTTCAGAGATTCCTCCTGGGTCTAATAGGACTTTAAGGGCCAGATTCTGGTACCCTTAGCCTGAGTCATACATTACAGATAGCCTCACTGAAGTCAGTGGGACTTCTGATGGAGTAAGGTGCTATTCAGCACAAGGCAAGATATCCGAATCTGGCCTACGGTTGCAAACGCTGGGCCAGACCCTCAGCTGCTGTCAGTCAGGCAAGCAACATTGACTTTAGTAGAGCTGCTGTCATTTACATCAGCTGCGGATCTGGCCCATTGGTAGCACAATGAACAGAATGATCCGGTTTGTACCATTTTACTAAGCAGGGAGTCCCTTGGGGTGAAAGCTCTGAACCCCATCTCACAAGCCTGCCGTGGTGACATTTATATTAAATTGGGCACAGATTGAAAGGGGCTGGCGTCATGGCTCTGCGAACATCCCTCACACCCTGTCCTACCAACGTGCTTCAGGCCTGATCCGCGGGCTCCCCCCACTAGGTCTCACAGTGGGGTTCAGCAGGCCTACGTCAGTCGGTCCTTGATTTCTCTACCAGCATGGGTGGTATGGAGTGCCAGTTGTCACGGTGATGGTTTGGTGATGTAATATGGAGGGCTGTCCACTAGGCACTGCACTGAGACCAACTTATTGCACACAGGTGGGCTTGGCAGAATTTGATTCTTGTTTTGTGATGATTTTGATGGATAATATAAATTTTTATTTTTAGATTTTTAGCTATTTAAATCTTCACCATTGAGGGAAATTCTGGGAAGGTCAGACACGGGCTGGGGAGGGGCAGACAATTGTTTCATGACCGTGGATGCTGAGATTCCAAAAATTAAAGCTTTAACTGTTGAAACACAAATGCTCAACATCGCATGTCAAAATATACAAAGTAAATATCCTAAAAATCAAACTCTAATACTTTCTCTCAAACAGCATTTTTCTTACCTTGCCTTTGGGTACCTTTCCATCCTCATAGATGGACAGATGTATAGTTTTTTGTGTGTGTGGATGTGTGAAATTGATGTTTATCGATATTTACTGATAAAAATCGAATCCTTCCAAGCCAATACCAAACAGCCACCCGAGGAGAACAACTTTGTCTAACACCAGCCCAGCCAGAGTCTTAGCCGGTGAACTAAAGGTGAAAAGCGCCTTTACAAATACCAATTTCCTGAGTCATCTTGTTCACGCTCTTTCCCCCACGCCCCAGCTCCTTCCAAGTCCAGTTCCCATTTCTCCGTCCACCTCGAAATTAAAGGTTCCAGGAGCTGCTGGGGAATCCAGACTCCGGGATACCTGTAGAGGTACAATTTCAGGGGACTGAAGCCCAGCCTCCCTGTTCACAGGTGCAATCTGTGCCCGCAGCAATGAACGCGCAGGCACCAAATGGGATATTTGCCCTTCTCCCTGCATTGGGTAGAGGTGCAAACACCCAGAGCTGCTCCTGCAATTCAATTCCAAATACAACGTTGCAGGTACAAAGTGCGCCGGCCTGGGAAGACACTGCCCTTCTCACAGTGGTTTGAGCATTGGCCTGCTAAACCCAGGGTTGTGAGTTCAATCCTTGAGGGGGCCACTTGGGGATCTGGGGCAAAATCAGTACTTGGTCCTGCTAGTGAAGGCAGGGGGCTGGACTAGATGATCTTTCAAGGTCCCTTCCAGTTCTAGGAGATGGGATATCTCCATTAATTATTATTATAATCCAGCCCTTATTGTAAAAGTGTCTCCGCTGCCCACCTGCTATTGCATTTGTCTCCGCATCACAATAGCAGCCCCACACCTACCTTTGCACAGGTCGTAGTCCGCCAAAGTCAGAGCTAAGCAGTGGCATAAATAACACAACAGCTTCTCAGTTTATAGTGTGGGCTAGCAGGTTTTGTGCTTTGCATCCGCTGCCAGCAGCATTAGTATTCAAATAAGGAACCGGGAGAACCAGGTCAGCTTTGATTGCGATTTAGATTCTCTGCTGCCCTTAGGTGGAGTGTGGCACGTAACCACTTGGGCACTCTAAACGCAGCGTGTTTGATGGCCGGGGAATACATGATCTGGGCTAAAAGGTTGTCAGAAGGGGGAGCAGGTGGGACGCAGTCCCTGAGTAAAGAGACCAAGACAAATTTTGCCTTCACTAAGAAGTCATTGACCCTTGCACCACAGTGGGGGAGAAGGGTGGAGATCAGGCCCACTGCCAGGCAGCCAATGTTACTCCTGTTTTACACGGCTGTAAGAGAGATCGGAGTCGGGGCTGTGGTTTGGGGTCGAGCTGCACTGAGGGTTCACTGCGGGCTGTTGCAGTTGGGTTCATAGGTTTGAGGGGCCTGGCAGGATTGTCCCCCACTGACACTAGTGATGTGTCTCAGGGCGATCCCTGCCACCTAGGCAGCGCTGGTCAGGTTTCCAACAGCTACTGCCCCTTGCCAGCTAACACCACTAGACACTGCTTAACGGGGGGCAGTGCTAGACTGGAGAGGCTGAGAAGAGAATGGGAAGGACTGCGGAGAGGAAGAGAATTTAAAGGAGAGAGCGGGAGGGAAACAATCACAGAACATAGAAGGGGGGGGAAGGAAGAAATATTAGAGCCGAAAGCCAAAGGAAATGTAGAGTGCAATGTCTCATGCTGCAGCTGGCACCTCTAGCTCTTTGCAAAGAGGAGGAAGGAAGTATTATCGTCCCTATTTCACAGCGGGGGAAACTGAGGCACAGAGCATGGACATGGCCTAAGGTTACACAGCAAGGCCATAACAGAGTCCAGGTGAGACCCTGGAAGTCCTGGCCCCGAATACCACAATAAGTCCATGATAAGCAAAGTTGTTTCACGTCTGAGGAAGGGGCCAGAAGACCCAACCACCTGACCTAGATGCTAACTTTCCTTTGTGCCAAGCCCCTCTGGCTAACACCTCAGCCCCAATGGCTGGTTGTCCCCAGTGGGTCCCTGCTGTACTTTGCTGTCAAACCGAGCTGCATTGGTCAATGGCGGGGGCCGGGTGGTACCCAGCCAGTTGGATCGACCCTCGTCCCGGTGTGTCCCTCCGGCAGCCTCCAGCCGTGCGTGGAAAGCAGCATGTAATGTAATGTAAAGAACCCATTCGTGCTGCTAGCGCAGGAGGGCACTTGGGCAGCAAAGCCTCCGCCGCCAGGTCCAATAATCCATTCGGGGGGTCGCAGAGCTCACCCCCGGGCTAAGCGTCAGTGCGCCAGAGCACATTGGGATACAGGCACCGTAAAGGGGAGCGAGCCGCCGGCCTGCGAGGGGGCAGCGGGCAGGAGGGACTTCATCAGAGCGGGGTTTTGGAGGTGGTCAGACCCATCAGCTCCATTCTGCTCCTCCCCTACCCCGAGGCAGCCCTGGTGCTCAGTCATATTTGTCCATCTGCCTCTGGTCTGCTTCGAACCCCAGCCGCTTGGAGGTGGCACTTGCCCCCAAAGACCTAAAGCAACCCGGCGCAGAGGCCGCCTCCCTTGTCACACTGTTCAGCCCACCCCCTGCATTCTCTAGGGGGGCAGCCACGGCCTGGGGGGGGGGTCGTCAGTCTTAGCGGGGCTGCATGGACGCAGCAGCATGAGATGTGCGCTCACCCCGACCCACACACTCACTTTCTCCCCACGTCTAGCCGCCAGCTGACCCGGCCCCCTCAACGCCACACACGCTCGCCCCGTACAGCCAGACGGCGAGGGCTGTTTTGGCCCTAGGGTGACCAGATGTCCCAATTTTATAGGGACAGTCCTGATATTTGGGGCTTTTTCTTAGATAGGTGCCAATTACCCCCACCCCCGGTCCTGATTTTTCACACTTGCTCTCTGGTCACCCTATTTGGCCCCGAGCCTGACTTCCCTGCTGATGCGCCAGACCAGGTGGGTGAGATCACTGCTTGTCTTGGACCAACTTCTGTGGGCGAGCAA